CCCCCCCCCCCCCCCCCCCCCCCCCCCCCCCCCCCCCCCTCTCTATCCCACCCTCCCCCTCCTCTTCCAGAGCCCCTCTAAACGGTGCTGCTGGTCTGGTGTGGGTGGCATGCGGCGCAGAGATAGCAGCAGCCCTCTCTGTCATCCCCACGTGCCCAATCCCTTCTTTCCGCTTGCTCCTCCCCCCCCTCTCTATCCCACCCCTCTCCCTCCTCTTCCAGAGCCCCTCTAAACGGTGCTGCTGGTCTGGTGTGGGTGGCATGCGGCGCAGAGATAGCAGCAGCCCTCTCTGTCATCCCCACGCGCCCAATCCCTTCTTTCCGCTTGCTCCTCCCCCCCCCTCTCTATCCCACCCCTCTCCCTCCTCTTCCAGAGCCCCTCTAACGGTGCTGCTGGTCTGGTGTGGGTGGCATGCGGCGCAGAGATAGCAGCAGCCCTCTCTGTCATCCCCACGCGCCCAATCCCTTCTTTCCGCTTGCTCCCCCCCCCTCTCTATCCCACCCCTCTCCCTCCTCTTCCAGAGCCCCTCTAAACGGTGCTGCTGGTCTGGTGTGGATGGCATGCGGCGCAGAGATAGCAGCAGCCCTCTCTGTCATCCCCACATGCCCAATCCCTTCTTTCCGCTTGCTCCTCCCCCCCCTCTCTATCCCACCCCTCTCCCTCCTCTTCCAGAGCCCCTCTAAACGGTGCTGCTGGTCTGGTGTGGGTGGCATGCGGCGCAGAGATTGCAGCAGCACTCTCTGTCATCCCCACGTGCCCAATCCCTTCTTTCCGCTTGCTCCTCCCCCCCTCTCTATCCCACCCCTCTCCCTCCTCTTCCAGAGCCCCTCTAAACGGTGCTGCTGGTCTGGTGTGGGTGGCATGCGGCGCAGAGATAGCAGCAGCCCTCTCTGTCATCCCCACGTGCCCAATCCCTTCTTTCCGCTTGCTCCTCCCCCCCCCTTCTCTATCCCACCCTTCTCCCTCCTCTTCCAGAGCCCCTCTAAACGGTGCTTCTGGTCGCGTGTGTGGCATGCGGCGCAGCGTGTAGCGGGCCGGGCTGCAGGGGGGGTTGTGACTCTTAGTACGAGGAGAACATGACCCTTACGCAGTCCGTACGGTGCTCTCACACTCTGCTCCCTCTCCCATATGATTTCACTCAGACTAGTTCATCCCCTCTCTCCCCCATCTATCTCCCTGCTCTCCCCTACCTCAACCAGAGCCCCTGTTCATGGTGCTGGTGGTGGTGTGGGTGGCCTGCGGCACGTGTTACCAAAATCCCACTCTCTCGACCTCTTGGTTTTCCGCCCTTCTTTGGAGTCACCCACATATCCTTTTTTCCTATCCATCCGGCTGTCGTAGGTTCATTCGCAGAGGGGCGGGACCGGATGTGCCTCGAGGCGCCAGACCATGCCATAGACTTCTACCCAACGCTCGAACAGCGCGTGCAGATGTTGTATGAGGTTATCAGCGAGACGCACATCATCAACATGATGCAGCTGCGAGAGGCTATGGAAGACAAAAACATCATAGGCGCTTTTAAACGCGCCTGGACGTCATGGAAGAACGAACGTGGCTTCCACCTCAAGCGCAGAGTGCTCGTCACTTTCAGCAAGAAGGTGGAAGGCCTGCGTGCAGCCGAACTGTGGATGGGCACCAAGAAGAAGCGGAAGATGTGGAAAAAATACCAACCGAGTGAGTACTTGCGTGACTGTTTCCATCCCCTATTGACATGTCTTCTCATGCACCCCTCGTGCATGCCCCCACGTTGATGAAGCACATACCCCAATGCATCCCCACTTTGGCACGCGACTACATACCTGCTCTCCTCGCCCAAGCTTGTAGCGCATGTGCAACACACATCCGCATGACAGCCATCCGTTGGTTTCTTCTCCACACTCCCCTTCTCCCGCCCCCCGTTTTACTCCCGCCCTCCTCTTCTCTCCCGCCACCACCCTTCTCTCCCGCCCTCCCTTCCTCTACCGCCCTCCCCTTCTCTCCCGCCCTCCCCTTCTCTCCCGCCCTCCCCCTATCTCCCGCCCACCCCTGCTCTCCCCGCCCTCTCGCCATTCATTCCCCCCCGCCCTCGATGTTCATCCATACCCTTTGGACAACCCTAAACCATGTCATGCATGATCACGGATGTCTCATGCTTCCCCGCATTGTCATACATGCGCGCAGGAGGGAAACAACGGGTCAGCTCGTGGGGAAACAACAGAGACGGGCTCCCGTTTGCCGACGGCCGGTTTGTAGATGCGGTCCGGGAAGCATTTCGGAATTTCTGTGTCGGGCGCCGGTGTGCGTCAAAGCATACCACATTGCCTGGTCAATCATGGTGGTACGCAATTATTGCTCACCCATGGTATGCTCTAGCTTGGCATGCTGTTTTATAGTCCCTCGGCATGGTATGTGGGGCATTTAGCGCAGCCTCTAAACTCTGCACGCGAGTGTCCACTGAAGTTGCTGTTTTTCCTCCATCCATACTGTGCTATGCCTTTTCAGATTGACCAGGGCTTATCAAAGGTTAAGAGGACTGACTGGAACGTCTCCAACTCCCACCGGAAGAACAGTGAATGGATGGGGGGTTTGCACCGTAATGTGCGGTGGATTATCAAGGACCACTTCACACGCCACACCCCTGTGTACAACACAGACATGAAGGACTTCAAGTGGGGCGAACCGTGGGCTGTATGTTCACGAGTCAGGATTTGAGGCCTTCCGGGGGAAGGCTGAGCTTGATGCCAAAACGAAGGACCTGAAGGAGGAAGAAAAGGAGGTGTACAACTCGGAGGACATGGAGGAGGATAAGGAGGAGGAGGATGAGGAGGAGGAGGAGGAGGAGGATGACGAGGAGGAGGACGAGGAGGAGGAGGAGGAGGAGGAGGAGGACGAGGAACAGTGGGGGCAGGAGCGGAGGGAAGAGGAAAAGGCACAAGAGACCTAGGGCAGGCGGGAGGGATGAGGAAGAGGATGAGAAACGGGGGGGGCAAGAGCTTAGGAAGGGCAGAAGGCACAAGGGAGGGAAAACCAGGGAAGGCAGGAGGGAAGCGGACGAGGAAGAGGAGAAGGAAGAGGAGCTGGGGGATAAGAAACAGGGGGGCAGGAGCGGAGGAAGGGCAGGAAGCACAAGAGAGGCAGAGGGCAGGGAAGCAGGAGGGAAGAGGAAGTGGAGGAAGATGAGGAAGAGGAGGAGCAGGAGGATGAGAAACAGGGGGGGCAGTCGCGGAGGAAGGGTAGAAAGCACAAGAGAGGCAGAGGCAAGGGAAGTTGGAGGGAAGTGGAAGAGGAGGAAGAGGAGGAAGAGGAGAAAGAGGAGGAAGAGGATGAGGATGAGGATGAGAAGCAGGGGGGCCAGGAGCGGAGGAAGGGCAAAAGGCACGAAAATGGCAAAAAGAAGGGGAGGCAAGAGGGCCAAATGATGGTGTGACGAGACAAGGGGGGCTGCAGATGAGGCATGCGTGGAGTTTACAAAAGGGGACAGCAGGAGAGGCAATCACATACGTGCGAGGAGAGGCATTGGTGGAGACAGCAAGGGGGGCATCAGGGAAGGCACGTGTGGATAGAGAAAGGGGGACAGCATTACGGAGGGGAGTGGTGCAAGGGCCGCAGCAGTATAGGCATGACCGGATAGGACAAAAGCAAGCAGCAGTAAAGGCTTGACTGGAGGATGTCTAAGACGGAGCAGCAGACGCATGACAGGGCTGGACATGCGAGGAAGCAGTGGACGCATGGGCAGGGCAATAGTACCACATTTCGAGTATATTTCCATATTCTTGTCCGCATTCCGAGAGTTCCAGTGCCCAAGCCAGATGCCAGAGACTTAGTCAAAATTCGAGAGCAAGAAGAGCCCTAGCAGTGTTGGAATGTCCTACATGCGAAAACATTAGGGCTGACGACACTCTCTTATACTGAATTATAGGGTACGATTTTACTCATGTCAAGGTCCTGAGAGTAACATGAACGTCAAACTCAATTTCACGGAGCGGGAAGTGACAAAACCACACTGAACAACAGGTCGAGCAAGGGAAAAACTCTATGAATTCCAGGGGCCTGGCTCCGATTCTTCCAGGGATTAATTCTGACAGCCCTACACGTATGCACCAATCACGCTGCTTCGTGCAACAAACGTGTTAGGCTGTCAGATGGGAACCCTAAACAGCTGGAGGATTTCATTCTGTCTTCACCGTTAGATTTCATCTAACGGGCATCCACTACTGCGCCCAGAAGATGGGAGAGTGCATGTGTGGAGTGGACGGACCTCTGCGCGCCGTAACATTATTAGGGATGGCGCGTGCCCAAATCGGGGAAAAAGGACACATTCACAACAGCCACCAAGTTACCGGTGAGAGTCTGACGCGTGGAATCGCTAGCCCCGAGAAGGTGTTCCACCTCGTCGTTCCGATGTTTTGATTGGCTCTCCCCTGTTAAGGGGGATGTATCTGTGATGTCAGCAGATGGGGAAACCAGACACCATTGCCAAAGAGCCCCGACAAGTGGGGCCCTCTGGCGAATGTCGTCCATGCGATTGCGACATCTTCCAGGTTCAGGTAGGTTAGGGTACGAGTAGCAAAAATTAACGAATGTGGCAACAACCTGCATAGCAACTCGTGACCCATAGTAGCGTGGCTCCAAAGCACAGATTCAGAAGTGGTGCTGCTTCCTCATAATTTCCCCAGTGCCACTCGCAACTCGAAGTCAGGAACATTCAGCCATGGCTCTTCCAAGCTTAGATAGTAAACTAGCCTTTCAGCCGATCTCCATGCCCTTTCCCTACGGCGGAGGCTGGCTCGACATAACCGTAGACCACGCCAATAGGCTACGACCCGGTGAATGGGTCAGCGGAATCGTGATTGATTGGCTCGGTGTGTGAGTATCACGAATATAGACTCATTACACAGTGACGACACGGTTCTCTCATGCTATTATTTTGGCGTTAATCTGCGCACTCGCAGGATGCTGCAGTACGAACACGGTCGCAACCGCACAAAGTGGCTTTACGGTGGATCCTATTTCTGGGACTACGCTCGGAAGGACACACCGAGGCCTGAGAACGCCTACACTTTCGGATTGGGAATATTCGAATTCACACATGTTCTAGTTCCGATCAATACCGAGTAAGTTCTCGCCGCGTCGTGCCGTTGCACCAGAAATAATTCGCAATGATAATGTCGTTTTTAATGATGCTAGTCCTCGTTTGCGCATTAGGAGTCATTGGAGCTTGATCGTCATCGAGAGAATCCCGAGACCCGACGACACGATTCCCATGAACTGCGTGCTATGGCACGCTGACTCGAACGGTACCCATGACGGTGTTGACGCTCCGTTGCGCAGGTATTCGCTCTCAAATGGCAGTATGCTGTTGTCTCGTAACTCAAAACGGGGTAACTAAATAATTGAAGAACCATCATCCGATATGCAGGTATTTACGAAACGAGGTCGTAAAATGCTGTTCGTGGATCATTGATTCGGACGCTGATGCATGGGCTGCGAGCATCCCGCTACGGCACGTCAAGGTGAGCGAAATTGGCTTGTTTGTACGAGCTCCGAGCCCATGCATCTCTTTTTCTCGCAACGCGATTTCCTCCACCAACCCCCAATTTCGGACGGGCCTTACACTGCCATAATTGACCCTGTGTGTCTTCAGATTCCAATGCAGGACAATGAGAACGACTGTGGTGTGTTCGCGATGCGTGTGATGCACACATTGGTCGAGGATGGTTTCCGTAACCTCCCTGCGTGTGAGCTTGTCGGTACGCCACTCAAATGGCGCCGTCAGTACCGTCGCGATTTGAGGAAGTGGTCTGTGTTTTTTTCGGGGAAAGACGATGGTGGAGGTTAGAGGTGGGGCATGAGGCGGGTCTAAGCTAGTAATGGGGCGGGGAGCTTGGTGGAACGCGACTGGAATGAGAATGACAGGGTGAGCGAAGGGGGATGAGGCTGATAGCAAAGGGGGAGTGAGGCGGGTATGAAGTGGGGATTGAGACGGGTAGCAAGGGAGATTGAGGCGGGTAGCAAGGGGGAATGGGGCGGGTAGCAAGGGGGAATGAGGCA